ATTTTTTTTTTTTTTTTTTTTTTTGGTACCAGGGTTTAATGTGGGACCTTGCACTAGTGAGGCAGGCAGTGGCAGCCTGAAGCTAAATCCCTGGCCCCCCGTATCACTAATTTTAAAAGGTGGATTAGCACTGGTAAGAGGTAAGAAGGAACTGTTCCAAGTATTGCGTTCCAAAGCCATACAGAATACAATCTAGTGTTTAAGGACAAGACAACGCTGACAATTTGGAAGTGAGAAGACATCAGGGCCAAGAAAAAAAAGTATTAACTGTGTAATATTTTGATGTTCCATCATGTTATTTCATCAAAGAGATGAAGTCAGCTGGTTGGATCTAAAAGTCAGACTTGTTTAAACTGCATGTGCTGTGAAAATCTGCTGTAACTAAATAAAATCAGCAGATCTGCTAGACCTGAACAGTAACTATGAGTATAAAATAATGTTTTCTACTATCAATATCTTATGTATCAGTTCAATAGCAATCTAATTCAGCACAAAGATGGAAAGTTATCTGTATAACTGTTTCTCTGACAAGAGAGTGATAATCTGTTGTGATTTCTAAAATCATCTACCCATTGAAAATGTTTGTTATTAATCAGTGGCACAACAGTTTTCCTTCAATTTCATTAATGTATCTTTAAATAAGTCATTACTGTCATTACCTTTTCACTACCATAACAAAGCAGAGTAAGAGGCAGAGGTCAATATTGACGATCATCATAAATGCAATCATAATTCTGAAAAATATTCACTGCATACCTTTTTATCACATTTTTCACAATGATATGCATTTTCACCTTCAAGTAAATCTCCTTTGATATACTGTTCCAAAGAATCAACAAGATTTTGGTGATTTCTAATTTCTACATTTAAAGTAGTAAAAGATTCTTCACACTCATACCTAAAGGCATTAAGAAATGATGGAAAGGATCCTTAAATTTCTAAATGTTACCTTTAGCTGTAACTTGATGAAAAATATATTAGCAATATTTATTATGTCCTATCAAATTCATTAAGTCATACAATGTTATTCAGTAATAGTTATCTTTAGCAATCATTTACTTTTGTACTGGGCCTTATACTAGATTCTTTATATGCATTCAAGAAGCATTTCCGCCTATCTCTATCTTTAAGATACAGAAAAAGAAAGTAGGGCAGGGGAATGCAGCAGGCAGAATGATTTGGTTCTTCTTGGAAGATTGATGCTTGAAAAGTCATGTGGTACACTGTCTTCCTAACTTATCTGTTTAAACAGTAATTAATACCAAAGTAAAGGTTAAATTCAGAAAATGACTTGGAATATTTTAAGATATTAAAAAAGTGCATTTGAAGAATGTGTTTCAATTTCTGCCTCAGAGGCTTTACATACACAACCACTTCAGACATAAGCTTGCTTATTAGAACCCTATAGTGTTCTCTTCTATATATTTATAAAATAACTGCAGACCAAAAATTCTTAAGAGAATGAAAAGGCATTCCATACTGTGGGCAACTGTTATTAAAAAAAACAAAAATCAAATCTTATAAAAGACAACTTAAAAATTCACAAACACAAAGCTGGGTGTGGTGGTGCACGTCTGTAATCTCAGCACTTGGGAGGCTGAGGCAGGAGGATTGCTGTGAGTTTGAGAAAAGCCTGAGCTACATGTGAGTTCCAGATCAGTCTCAACTACATAGTGAGACCCTATCGCAAAAAAAAAAAAAAAACAACAAAAAAAACAAAAAACAAACAAACAAACAAAAAACAACAACCCCACACTCACAAATCATACATGTGTATCTCAGAGATACTCCAGGAAATACACATACACATAAAAATGATATAAACACACATATATCTATACATCTGATAAGACACTCTAGAAAAATAAAATACTCTTAAAACCTCAATACCCTGTGATATAAAAAAGACTCAGGACTCAGACATTATCCTGTTAAGTTCCTGCAAGCTGAGTTAATATGTATAGTTCATATGAACTCCCAGCCTACACACCCCTCAGTAGTGGGGATTGAACTGAGGACCTTATTCATGCTGGAACACACTTTACCAAAGAGCCACCTCCAGCAGTAAATTACCCATCCTGGGCTTGAATTGTTGTAATCCTCCTGCCTTAAGTCTCCCGGAATTCTAGAATTACAGTTTTGGGCCACTAGGCCTAGCCAATTGTTAGTAAAAGTCAATTATTTACTTTGAGAAATATTTCATCAGATTTGCCAGTCACCTTTTAAGCTTACATTATACTACTATAGTAATTACTTTAATTAGAACAAAACATCCTTTAGCAGTAACTGCAGACTTCTAGAAAATGCCATTTTATTTCTGAGACAGGGTCTTGTTATGTAGTTTATTCTGCCCTTAACTCACTATCAAGTAGTGATCCCCTTCCTCAACCTTCTGAGTGCTGGGTTTACAGGTATATACCACCATGCCTGATAGGAAAATGTCATTTTATGTTTTAGGGTATGACAAAGCAAGTGGAAAGATCCATATATTACTAGGGGGAAAGAATCCCAACAGGATATTGTTACATATTAATGCAAATTCAGTCTCAGGCATTTAAAATCAGATACTCTGCTTGCTATAAATACAAGTAAAAATCTTATTTGTGTTCATGAAGAAGACCAACAGAGAGTATACCTTAAAAAAAAATACTTAAGAGCTTACCTATGTGGGCAGCCTTGGCAAATCTTCTGATCTGCAAAGGAACCTCCTAGGACTTTACTTATCATTGGTGGATGTCCTAAAGCTTTTAAAGCCTCATCTAAACTGTTCACCAAAGAATTGAAAAACTCTAAGGCATCATGTTGCTCACGGAGATTTACAGGTTCACCCCAAAGCCTGTAACAAGTAATATGAAACAACTGCACATAGCTTAAAAAACAGAATAAAACATATGACATCCTCGAAATATTCAATTCCTATCACAAAAACAAGAGGCATCTGAGCTGAAAATGTTTATCCAAGAAGATGAAATAAACTAATGAATCTTATGTATGCAGAATGGCAATGAAAGCGAAGCTAGTAAACAATGGTAACGTAGAGCCAAGCAATTACAAATGATTACGATATTGTGACTAAGATGAATAGAATGGTGCTTTATGAAATATATTGATGCATTTCAATTCAAATATTTTTCACATGACAAACTCATTCTAACATGGACTCTATAATTACTTTCATGTTTAATTTTGTTTAAATTTTAAGCGAGATAGCAAAGATTGTATCACTTTATTACTGACCAAAGTGGATTTTTTCCAAGTGAATAGTTTACCCTTTAAAAACTAAAGTATATGTTTTCAGTAGTATAAATTGATTTAAAATTTAGATGAATCGATCCTGAGAACTAAGTATCAACTGTGTATATGAAATAAGAATTAACATTGATGCAAGAGATTTTAGTGAAAACTTCAAGAATATCAAAACTTTTACAGAGTACACATCACAGTGTATCAGTTCCTTGTGAATAACGATATGAAGCATTTTCACCCTATTAGTTGGCTGCATTAATATCCCTTGCTCATTTCTGAACTGGGTTGTGCTCTTATATTAGCTCTGTATAAATTTTATTCCTTTGGTATTGGGGATCACTTAGGTCCTTGAGCTTACCTGGCAGACGATGGAACCACTGAGCTAAATCCCCAGCCTGGTTCTGCATAAATTTTAGATCATAGTTCAGGGCTAGATTTCGAACTCAGGACCTTGTGCTTGTGAAGCAGGCTGAGGAATCACTGAGCTAAATCCCCCAAGGGCCAGATATTTTAAAGGATAGTTTCTACAAATGAGTTGCCTTTCATTTTCTTGTTCTATGGTTTTCTTTTCTTTCTTTCTTTTTTTTTTTTATGATGTACAAACTTTAAAAAAATTTCCATAAAGTTTAACCTGTTTTTTGTCGTCTATAGTGTCATATCCAAGAAATCATTAGTAAGTCCAATGTCAGGAAGATTTTTTTCAGTTTTTGTATTTAGGTCTTTGGTTTTTATTTCTCTTTATTACTAAAGTTCCAACTCCTCCCTTCTATAGCATTTCAAGTTTTCTTAGCATCATTTGTTGAAAATAGTCTCTTCCCCCTAAATGATTTTGGTATCTCTATCAAATATCATTTGTACCAAGTTGTGAATTTACTCCTGAGGCCTTTATTCTATCCTACTGGCCCATACTTCTGCTGTATGCCAGTCTTACACGGTTCTTAAGATTTATACTAAGTTTTGGAATCAAGACCTTATCTTCCCTGCCCAAATAGCTATACGTTGAGATCCCTTGATATTCCATGTACATTACAATATGGTTTTTGAGTAACTACCAAAAAAATTGAGTTTTGCCACAAATGGCACCAAAACCATAGAATGTGTTGTTAGTACTGCCATCTAAATAGTAGTAATATGTACTTATGATACATTGTTTTTTCACGTTACCTCTTTTACCTCCTTGGCTAGCTTAGTATCTTTAATGTTTTATACCATTATATGACATTGTCTTCATAATTTCCTGTTACTGAGGGTTATGTGTATGCACGAGTCACCTATGCTCATATGGTATTGGTGAGTGTGTGTCTTGGTACTGGGGATCAAACTCAGAACTTTACATTTTTGAGGCAGGCAGCAGCACCACAGATAAATTCCCAGCCCCTCATCTTTTGTTTCTTAAAATAAGCAAAGGGAACTGAACTGTCAATTTTTCTGCATTAACTGGCAATGTCATGTATTCTTCTCATTCTACTAATGTAGTGTACTATATTGAACAATTTTCTCAAGATAAACCATCCCTGCATTTCTGGGACAAATTCTGCTTGATTATGGCATATATTTATTTTAAAATACTATTAAAAATGGCTTTCTAGCATTGTGTGGAAGACTTTTGTTCAAAGGGTATTACTCTTTCAGTTTGTTTTATAGTGTGTCTTTTTTATTTATTGGTTTCCATTTTAATTTAGATGAAATACCACAGCTTTCTTCTTTTATTACTGCACTGTAGGTAATTCATAATATAGATGTACCATAGTTTATTTATCCATTAGCCACCAGATGGACAAAGATTGCTCTGTCTTGGTAACCACTATACTTATAAAACTGTTACACATATACACAGAATTTTAAGAAAAAGTGAGTTTTAGATTTAATGACTTTTTTGGGAAGGACATTGGGGGTCAAATTCAGGATCTTGAGCTTGTGAGGCAGGTTTGGTATCACCAAGATAAATCCCCAGCCCTTATTTAAAAAAAAAAAAATTGCTATGTAGTCCAGGCTCTGAACTCACTGCGAAGCTCAGGCTAACTGTGAACTTGGGGCAATTCTCCTGCCCTAACCTCCCAAATGCTGGGACTACACGTGTGTATACTAGCATGCCATGCTAGTTATTTTTTATTTTTTTGACACAGGGTCTAGGTAGTTGAGACTGCCCTCGAACTCACTATGTAGCACAGGCTAGTCTCAAACTCACAGCGATCCTCCTGCCTCAGCCTCCAGAGTGCTAGGATTACAGGTGTGTGCCACCACACCCGGCAATGCTTGTTATTTTTGGCTGAGTGTCTCTCTTACTTAAATGAAAAATTTTAGGTTGGGAATTTAATATTCACCTGGAGAAAATTCTTATGTATTATACATGCAGATTGTTTTTCCCAAATACTTTCTTAACAGTCTTTGGCAGTTTTCATTTCTTATAAAAAAAGCAATATTCTTCTGTCCAAGATACTTACTGCTGAATGATTTTTCTTCTTTTTGAGACAGGGCCTCACTATGTAGTTGAGACTGACCTGGAACTATGTAGCCCAGGCTGGTCTCGAACTCAGTGATCTTCCTGACTGAGCCTCCTAAGTGCTGGGATTACAGGTGTGTGCTATCACACCTGGCAGAATAATATTCTTGAGAGATTTTTTTACTTTGTTCTTGCATGCATGCATGCATGCATACATTCATTCCAAGACCTTATACTTGCGAGGAAGGCACAGCACCAATGAACGAAACCACCAACCCTCTTGCATTTATTCTGCCTTACCTGTGGGTCTTTTATCTATTTTGCATTAACTTCTGTGTAAGTTAAAAGCTGATGGGATTTTGAGGGATGTTTGCCAACTTAGTTCATTTATGAATTTTACTCTGAATTATTTTTGTACCTGTCAAAAATCAGGCAGGCATTAATAATCCAGGTTAAATTCTGAGTTTCTCAGATTCTTATAATCACTGTGCCTAATTTTTCAATAGTGCCATTATGTCATCATTATTTTGGGTTTATTATTAGTACTATTAGTATTACCAGGGATTGAATTTAGGTCCTTGTGCTCACTAGGCAGGTGATGGACGGTACCACTGAGCTAAATAAATCCCTGGCCCTATTTTGGGTTATTTTTATTTTATTTTATTTGGAGACAGGGCCTCACTATGTACTTGAGACTGACCTGGTACTCACTATGTAGCCCAGGCTGGTCTCAAACTCACTGCGATCCTCCTGCCTCAGACTCCAGAGTGCTAGGATTACAGGCGTGCGCCACCACACCCGGCTTGATTTGGGGTTATTTTTGACATGAGGTCTTGCAATGTTGTTCAAGCTGATCTTGAACTATGTAGCCCAGGTTGCCCTCAAACTTGTGGGCCTCCTGTCTTGGCCTTCCTTTAAGTACTGGGATTACAGAAGTGCTCAACATGCCTGTCATGCCTTGCTTATTGGAAAAGGAGTCTTGACACTAGGCAGGGATCCTCCAGCTCTGAACTTTTTCTGTTCCAAACTGTTTTTTGTTTCTTTCCCCTTTCATATTAAAAATGAGAACATGATGAAGGTACAAATCATTCTGGGGAGACGTAATGAAATAACAACATTCTCCTGTCACTGGATATAGATACATCTCCATTTAATTTTATCTTCTTTTGAAGCTACCCTTCAGTGTTTTGATGTGCAGAGCAATAAAGTGTTGCAAATATTTTTACATTCTGATGCTTTTCCTTTTTATTGAGTTTGTTGGTACATTCTAGGTATACAATACAGTTACATTCATTACTGGGACCTTGTACTTTTACATGTCAGGTCTTGGTTCTCATTTCTTCCCCTTAGATTTTGGTAAATAGTTTTCATACACAACAGCAGATATTTATAACTACTCTCCCCAAACCATTGCTATCATCAAGAAAATGAACAATCTAATATCTTCAAAAAAGTGCTTTGAAGTTCTCTACCCTGACCCTTCAATTTTCTCAAATCAAGTATTAATTTTTATGTCTCTGTCAGTATACTTTTTTTGTACCAGGGATGGTACTCAGGATCTCGGGCTAGGAAGGCAGGTGGCAGAATCACTGAGCTAAATCTTCAGCCCTGTCAGTATACGCTTCTTGAGTATTAGTTGGGTGTAATGTTACACAGGATGGGACAAGCCTGTAATCCTAGTACTCTGGGAGTCTTAGACAGAATCACAAATTTGAGCCCAGTGTGAGCAACTCAACAACTTGCTGAGATCCTACCTCAGGATGGAGGAAGCTTAGTATTAAACACACAAAATCCTCTTCCCACAGAATATATCTATTGTTTTTTGTTTCTTCTTTTCTCCCTAAAGTGAATCTGCATTTATTCTGTTAGTTGCAGATATTTTGTGCGACATTTTTTCTTTGGTACCAGGGACTGAACTCAGGATCTTGTGCTTGGAGGCAGATGGCAGAACCATTTAAGTGCCAGGCCCCATGTGAGTGACTTTTTAATTTTTTATTAGGTTTCCTAGCAAGTTTGCTAAGAATATCAGAAATGTTGTTTTGTATCAGATGTTGTCTTCCGTACCTACTGAAGTAATACCGGTAATCCTTTTAGTGTGATTTGAATATTTTGATTTAACTAAGCCTTTCCAAACAACCCTTTTTTCATGATGCATTATCTCTGTTGATTTCAAGTTATAAAGGTTCTAGCCAGGCGTAGTGGCTCACGCCTGTAATCCCAGCACTCAGAAGGCTGAGGGAGGAGGATTGCTGTGAGTTCGAGACCAGCCTGGGCTACATAGTGAGTTCCAGG